CCCCAAAACCCCAAAACCCCAAAACCCCAAAACCCCAAAACCCCAAAACCCCAAAACCCCTAAATTGCTACGTACATTTGAAACCATTACGTTGCAAAAATATTTATTTTCAGTTAAGGTTTTGCTACTAAATCAAATTCGATTAGTGATTTACATGCTTCCAAGACACTCTCTTTCATTGATTTATATTCTATTCCTAGTTCTTCAGCAGCAAAGGAACCATCGACTTCAGCTTTGATGTTCCAGCAAGTAAGAAAGAAGGCGACATCTTTGTTAAAGAAACTGACAATCCATGCAAGGATTTTACTTATTTCTTTGTTCAGAATTTTGTAGCCTTGATCACTGTATTCTTCTGAAATAACTAGCATGAGCTCCAGAAACTTGTAATTTCCATTAGCAAGTGGGTATCTTCCTCCGTCCTTGCCTTTCTCAATGGCATTGACATGAGCTTGGGCTACATCTTGGACATCAACATTAGCAAAGTACTTTTGAGGAACTCCTGGCAATTTATTTTCAAGAACATTCTTGATTAATGACAGAGAGGTTCCTTCAGCACGAGGTAACAAGGCTTTTCCAGTGACAAAGGAAGGATTAATCATCATTACTTCGAAGGTCCGCTCAGAAGGTTTCAAGTTATCTAGAAAATCATAAGTATATCTTTCAGCTCTGATCTTGCTCTTGTAATATGGGGTATGATCTTTACGCTCTTTTACAAAAGTTTTGTGATTAGAAACTTTATCAGGATTTTCCCAAAAATCTTGAACTGCTACACAAGAAGAGGTAATAATGAGCTTTTTAACATCAGATCCTACACATGCATTCAACATATGTCTATTTCCGTCGATGGCAGGTTGGATGACTTCCTTCTCTCCATCTTTTGGAGAATTAAGTGGAAATGGTGACGCAACATGAAGAACATACTTCGCTCCTTCAATTGCACTCTTCATTGAATCTTCATCTTGCAAATTTGCTGATACAAATTCGATCTGATCGAAGTAGTCTCCAAATCCTTTCTGAAGAATTTCCATTCTGCTTTTATCTGTGTGGTCTCTCACAGTGCCTCTGACCCTGTACTTGTCAGTATCAAGGAGTTTAGCAATGCACCAAGATCCAATATATCCAGAGGCTCCAGTTACAAGAACGAGAGGTTTCTCAGATGAACTTTCCATTTAAAATTGATTATTAACTTCCTATATTAGGTTTTAAATATCTTTTTACAATCTACAACTTCTGAAAGGGGTTTTGGGGTTTTGGGGTTTTGGGGTTTTGGGGTTTTGGGGTTTTGGGG